CTTTTTGGTACTTAATTTCGCCGGTCTTCAATTTGGGGAAAGTGGAACATTTCCTGGAGCAACGAAAAGTAAAAAATGGTAGTCCTGCAGGTTTTTTTTTTTTCGAACTGAATGATTTAAACGGAATGTCAAACCGACCTTGCTGCCAGTTTTAGGCTTTTTCGGCCGTTTTTCGATAAATGGGACTGATTAATAGGTGTAAGCAAATGATAAAGTAAACATGATTCAGTCCCGAACAGGATTCACAATCTTGTAGTTTGTTTACCATTCGCCCAAACCGCTATCGACCGTTATTTGTTGTAGATTTATGATCAAATAAAGCCGGGAACTGTCAGTTGGGATAAAGTGAACAGGCCCTCATCATTCAAGCAGATGAGTGGGATTGGAGGAAACATGAAGAAAGTAGAAAATTGCAATTATGCAGTGGAGATCGGTAAAGACCAAATGAAATTTTCATTGGTTAGTATTGAAGGAAAGGATATTCATGATTGCAACGAAACCTTAACGCTCGGTAAGTAGCCATCAATTAAGTTACTTTTAAAGGCCTATTGTTCTTGCAACACATACATTGAAATCTCGATTTGGCAAAGCCCTACAAAGCGAAATCCCTAACAACTAACGATAACTAACGATATTTTTCTATATAGAAACGAGCTTCGCTGCAACAAAACCTGTTGGCGCGAAGATTACTTTGCCAGTCTCTTTTCGAGGTTTTACTGTAGTCGTCCCAGGTCTTTCATATCTCTGAGACTTGTTCTTTATAAGGCGCTCAGGCCATGCCTTCACGAATCCGGACATTTTTGTAACCGCCTAATTTTTATCTGGATTCGTGTAGACGCAGCCTTAAACCTCTCTGGAATTCTAGATGTCCGTTTTACTGAGGTGTCCGTCTTGTAGAAGTGTCCGTTACCTGAGAGAGCGTCGACTGTATATTTCCCAACATTAAAAAAGAAGACCGCTTGTTGGTGTTAGCGAGATCAAATTTCCGTGAGAATGAGTTTATAGGAGTAGACAAAGTGTTTCTCTTCCACATAGAGTCGACTCTCTCTAAACGGACACCTCTACAAGACAGACACCTCAGTAAAATGTACACCTAGAGTTGGTCCCTGCCTTTCTTTACTCCCTTATTTGACTCTCTATAAGACAGACACCTTTATTAAATGGACACCTAGAGTTGGTTCCTGCCTTTCTTTACTCCCTTTATTTGACTCTCTATAAGACAGACACCTAGAGTTGGTCCCTGCCTTTCATTACTCCCTTTATTTGACTCTCTATAAAGTGGGCACCTCTGTAAAACGGACGCCTAGAGTTGGTCCCTGCCTTTCATTACTCCCTTTATTTGACTCTCTATAAAGTGGGCACCTCTGTAAAATGGACACCTAGAGTTGGTCCCAGCCTTTTTTTACTCCCTTTATTTGACTCTCTGTAAGACGGACGCTTAGTGCTGGTCCCAAAGGTGTCCGTCTTATAGAGAGTTGACTGTAAATGGACTTTCGTATCAAGTTGGTTCCCACGGGGCCCGGGTTGAAATACAGCAAATGTAGGGCTTTCCCCTAGGACAAGGGAAACTGCCGTACTGTCGGGAGAAAAGACATCCGTATTAAAGAGAGCTTCGACTGTACCTCGAACTCAGTATATATATTTTTTTATCTCTCTCAGCTATTGTGTGGCAGCAAATGCGGGCATACACAATTTCCCGCTTACCTTCAAAGCCAGGTGGGGAACCCATGAAGGAAGGAGATATTGTCGCGTGGGTCAATGAAAAGGTCAGATCAAAAACCAATTCATACCGTGTGCTGAAGGTCTGGTTTTTCTGACTGTATGTTAAGGGCGTTAGTATCTTTCAGATACAAACATTAACGTTACGCTACCTGACATTTTGCGCCTTTGCGCTAACCAATGTTAGAACACATACTGTTGAAGTTACTGTACAGCTGCACTGCACTGCGCTGCATTGCATGGCATGTCATTACATTGCATTACAAATACATTACCTCACAATACGTTACATCAAAAAGGTCCATGATGGATGATGGGGCCGTCTGCATCGGGCTTTCCACATTGTTCGAACGCCCCGGTGATGCTGTTTTGGTCGATTTTTGGAGCGGTTTTTAGGGAACTTTTATTTTAATTTACAAAACCAAGCGGTTTGCGGTATTTAGAAATCTTCGGGTAATCTCAATGCGGTTTGCGGTTTTCTTATGTTATTCTGTGCGGTGTTTATACGAATTTCTGTGCGATTTTTCGATATTCGTACCCCCCTTACTCCCTCCTCCACATGCATAGTGTTTCCACAGAAATGTGGTTTTCAATTTCGCTTTTGCTTACTTATACTGTAGTTATAAAACAGCTTTTGTTTTGTTCTTAAACAGACGTCATCTTTTTCGGAAACTCCCATTTCTGAAGCCTCCTATTCTTATTTATATAGTGTGAAAGCGATACTAAAATGCATATAAATGGTCGACTTTAAATAAACCAAAAAAATATAGGTTCCACGCGCCCGTTTAGTTATTTGATGAACTGGGTATTTTTATTTCAGTTATGCGCGTGCTTAGCTTGATTCGTTCACATAGCTTTCAAGTGTCCTGCTATAGAATTTTAGCAATTATGTGAACCCGTAACATGTTCCAAACATGTATCATTCCCCTAAAATTCCCGAGAGGAAAGAGCACTAATTAAACTAATGAAATAATTATTATGGGATAATCTACGACAATCTGTTATAGGGTGGCTGCGAAGAATTTTTGCTATATGACCTAAAGGAGTTTTACTTTTACGTTTGTCTTGCAGTTAAAGAAAGCGAAAAAGTCTAGTAGCATCAGCTCATTTAAGGATCCTGCCATTTCTACCAGCAAGGCAGTTTTGGATTTGGTTGATGCTATCAAGCCTGGTACCGTGAAGTATGCCTTGGTGTCAGGGGGCAGGACGTATGAAGTAAGGAATATCATTCGCATTCCTTATTAAATTCAGTAGGCAAGGTAGCCTGCTCCAGGCTCTAAGATAGCGCATCGAGAAAATCTACACGAAAACCGCGTAGGGGCCGGGAAGCGACGGGGGAGTGGAGCCTGTAAGGATAATTTTCAATACTTCATTCCAGTATGCCAGTATGCCAGTATGCCAGCTCCTGTTGTACCCATTGATTGTTTGGTCAATTTTGAAAGTTTACGTCAACACTTACGCCAAACTCTTAGCTTGGCGCAGACAGAAGAGTCAAACAAACATGGCGAGCGTGTACAACCCTCCTAGGCGCGCACACTTTGACTCGAGAATCCCGGAACGCACGGTTTTTTTTCTGAAAGTGGGTGGGGTATAGGGCGCAGTGAGGTAGATTGAGGGTTACTCGAGAGCGAGGCTCAAAACGTTTGGGCCTCTTACGATTTTGAAATGGGAAGCGATACTTTTCTAAATCCTCTTGGATTTCTTAAAGGGCCAGGAAAAGGTTAGTTTTGAAGAAATATGTTGGATGCATGTCTGTTTGTTTATATGTCTTCAGTTCTTGCGAATAAAACATTAGTTAAGTCAGATGGCCATTGTCTATTTTTTGGCAGTCAGGTATGACTGCCTTAACACATGAATACTTCGAAAGACTTGCAGGAAAGATCATAACAAGTTTTAAAACAAACGTTGTGCTACTTACAATGTTTTCACTGGGAGAAAAGGAGGGGGGGGAGGGAGCGGAAGAGCAAGAAATGATGTCTTTGACAAATTGTAAAATGCTATTATTCTTGATTAGGAGAAGCTTGAAAATGCTAAATACGCTCTGAGCGTGGCCCGAAAGATAGTTACAACCTACGCCCTGCCTGAAGACTTGGTTGAAGTCAAACCGAAGATGGTGTTGACAGTGTTTGCTTCTCTGATGAAGACGGCTACGGTGAAAGACAAAAATTAGGCTTTTAATTATTAGTGAATACACCAATTAAATTGTATGAAAAAGAATTGTTTTAGATAGTTCTTTTTCTTTGCTGTAATTTAAAAGAATAACTTAAAAGTAGGATTTAGTGTTGCAACCGGGAAGGGGTTTTTTGTTTTCACTCTCTTTTTTCGTTTTTGTAAACTGGTGAAGAGGGAACGTCCGCTCTTGTATAAACCCTTTAGCCTGCATGGCTGCTGAGATTTAAGCTGACTTTGTGCCAGCGCTATTGTTATGGCGGCAATAGAGTGGAGCGAAAATCCATTGCGGATTGGTCAATCACAACGTGCGGCGGATCGATGGCCGAAACCAAATTTCCAGTGCCTACGCGGGCTATTAATCTATTTGATTGCTTATTTAAATAACTAAATGGCCTTATTTGAAATATTTTCTACTGATAATATTCCTTAAAAAGAATGCACAGAACGATTCCCGCAATTCCTATAGAGATTTTGGAACCACTGGAATTCCAGCCTCCTTCATATCTCCACCTCACGTGCCGGGGTGAGGGATGAAAGACCCTGGGAATGAGGTTGCTGAAATACATGATCGATCTGATAAATAGCATTTTTTGTCATCGTTGTAGTTTTAATAGCGCAATAAAAACCTCAGAATTAAACAATTTCTTGAGTTAATTCCGTTCTTTGTCTTTTAAAATATGTAAAGTTGACTATTTTGCCAGTCTAGGGAAAATTCAAAGTTAATTATTTTAACAAAACCACTGTAACGTTTAAAAACCAGTTGATTGCTTGTCTCTAGGGGGAATTTACCTCCTAGCGCCTGCCGATAACCGAGCATGGTCATCCCACCTTTTTTTGTTTTTGAGTCTCCTAGTAAATAGTTAGTGTTTTCAGGTTTACGCTGTTACGCTGTCCTCTTATAAAGATAATCGTTGGTTCTAATCGGAGCTCAGGTAGAATAGCTTCTTTACATTCTCCACGACTGCTCGCCTGAGTGCCCTTAGCTTCCAGCAACGAAGGATAGGATTAACTTTGTCGGGAGCTCTGCTTTTAGGCCTGCGTAAAACAGGATGATAACTGATAAGCATGGTTTACACTGTTTCCTCTATCAATTTACATCAAGATAATTGTTATATCTTGTCGGAGCTCAAGTAGAATAGTTTCTTTACATTCTTCACTACTGCTCTCCTGAGTGCCCTTAGCTTCCAACAATAAAGGATAGGATTAACTGCTGCACTTGTGAGAACTATTGTTGTTGTGATGTAATAAGCGCCCTCTATACGCTCAGTGAAACCTAATATCAAGTAAGCAACGAGAACGCACACAAAAGGGGCGAAAAATAGCCAGTAAAAACACACGATGAAGAGTACGGCAGATGTTACCCTCTCGTACTTTTTAATGTCAAAAGAGTTCATTTCTTGTAGCTGTTGCGATGGCTTTGGTTCGATTATCAATGTTCGTCGCCTTATATGACGATGTATTCTTAAGTAGCTCAGAGTGAGTATAAGAAGACCTAAAAACATAAACGGCAGATGAATAACAACGTAACTCTTGTTGCTAAGAACATGAAAGCGAAGTACTTCCAGAATGATCAATGAAACGCTGAACATGGCGACTACCACTAACACACGTCTGACATTGACAACAGCACAATAGCGCGGGAGCCCCAATTGTAGGATAAGATAGCGTTCAATACTCAGTAAAGCTAGGATACTCAAGGAAATACCTCCTAGGAGCCACCCTAAGCACTCTTTAACAGCATCAAGGTAACAGGCAGAAGGAAATTGCCTTCGAAGTTTGACCACGAAAGATGCCATTGCTATCGGCTGAGCAATGAATCCTGTGAGTGCGTCAGCAAACGCCGTACAGCCCAGAAGGACAAAGGAAGGTGTTTGAAGTGAAGGACTTTTGCACGTCGTTAACGAGATGATTCCATTGCCAATTGCCGCCGGAATAAAAGACAAAGCGTGCAGAACAATACAGAAAACGATTAACGAGTCCAGATTTTTTGATGCTTGATGAGCAGAGGTTTCAAGAAAGAAGCATTTTGAGATTAAAGCATCGTCATGTCACACTGTTTTAAAAACAAACGATGGCCCTGAGCTTGTCAATTTCTTTAAACTAGCGATTAGGGAAGTATTTGCATAGATTAATTAGCTCAATGATGGCTGATTAAAGAAAGACGTGAGGACTTAGCAATACAGAAACAATATTATGCTCTGCCAAGACAGGATGGACGCGACGACGCGGATATGCAATGTAAAATTATTTTTGGTCCTCGAAAATGTACCTTTCAGAATGATGAATTCACTTTGATTTATAACTTAGGATGTAAAGTTACTAGTCAAGCCAATCTGGATTTAGTTACACGGCAATTTTTTTAATCAAATTTTTATTTCAAAGGATAACTTTTTCTTATTTCATATTTTATATTTTCAGGTTGTTTAATTATTTTTCCCAGACAGCGGAAAGCTTATCAAACATTACCAGGCACTTTTAGGAGGAAGCAATTAACAACTGGTGTTTTTTGTACGTTGCAAGTAAATTGATCGGGTAATTTGCATACAGTTTTTCACCTGGCGGGTTCGGCCTTGCCTTTTCCTGAAAATTCTTCATGTATTTTCCCAAAAAAGCCTTCACTGAGAACCGCATCATCTGATGTTGTTCAAAACATATCTTTTGAATGTCACAACTCGGCATAACACTTTGGGTTCACATGGTCTCATAACACTGTAATAATAGAAGTGCAAATCAAATGAGTGGCAAACCAGTACACACTGAATTATGGGTTTCTACGGTTTAGGCTTCTAAAGGAGGAGCTTGCATACTTCTAATGTATCTACACTTCCACTTGTGATAAAACCGTTTCTTTCAATATTCATATTGTGACAGTCATAGGTTCTTCAGTTTTTATTTTGCCCTATCAAATCGAGAGGCGAGAAAAGAAAAAGAAAATGATTAAAAAAACTCTAACCACAGAAGAGTGGATCCTCTGTTTCAATTTAATTTTTCGAAAATTTTTAATTAGAAAATGCATTTCCTTAGTAAGCAATTTTTATCTCTTTTTTCCGCTCTAGAGTTTTTCTCATATCAGACTTCCTGTCTATTCAAAACATTTAATTAAAAAGTTGCTTAAATTAATCGCGTCAGCTGTTAATATCTTGTGAAAAATGAATGTAACATTTGCCATGTTTTTCGATTGGCTCTCATTCTAAAAATATAATCTCTTGTGATAAATCAGGCAACAAAATTATTTCGGATGATGTGTATGTCTTGATTTGCGTTCAGAGGCGTTGAAAAACTAAAACAAAACTGAATACAAGGCTGGCACTACAGCAAAAGACTGATTTATTATAGGCTAATGTTTCGGCTAACAAAATTAGCCCTCCTCAGAGCCAGAGCTGTAACGAGAGCAAATGTCTTTTAACAGAAGAAAAACTTCAAATCTGTTTTTACTATCGGTGGTGCTGTAAAGACATTGGGCCCTCAGATAAGGCACAAACTGTCCAAATCTTCTGGGAAATTAAATCATCTATTTTTTCTATCTCACTCCATTTCCCATCTCCTTGGAAAGTAGAGGGAGGGACCAAAAATTAACCAAGAATAGATAAACTAGAAGTCTTATCGCGTCCGAAACCTAACACTCCACGACGCTCCGCCCCACCCCTCCCCTATCAGTGAACACCCGCATGTAATCTCCACACGTTGGCGGACTCGGTTTTTGATTTACATTTTCTAAGAAAAAGCCATGTATGTTCGGTTGACTGGTTTAGAGCTGGAAATTGGAGAAGTAGGANGGCTGGCACTACAGCAAAAGACTGATTTATTATAGGCTAATGTTTCGGCTAACAAAATTAGCCCTCCTCAGAGCCAGAGCTGTAACGAGAGCAAATGTCTTTTAACAGAAGAAAAACTTCAAATCTGTTTTTACTATCGGTGGTGCTGTAAAGACATTGGGCCCTCAGATAAGGCACAAACTGTCCAAATCTTCTGGGAAATTAAATCATCTATTTTTTCTATCTCACTCCATTTCCCATCTCCTTGGAAAGTAGAGGGAGGGACCAAAAATTAACCAAGAATAGATAAACTAGAAGTCTTATCGCGTCCGAAACCTAACACTCCACGACGCTCCGCCCCACCCCTCCCCTATCAGTGAACACCCGCATGTAATCTCCACACGTTGGCGGACTCGGTTTTTGATTTACATTTTCTAAGAAAAAGCCATGTATGTTCGGTTGACTGGTTTAGAGCTGGAAATTGGAGAAGTAGGAATGGAATTGCGCGGCATGCACTTGAGCTGAGAACTCGGTCCTGGGTTAATGTAGGCAACCGTAAACCAAAATAATGATCACCCACTAGCCTCCCCCGCAGACATTCTTAGGCGTGCGTGACGCACGCCTAAGAATGTCTGCGGGGGAGGGAGGCTAGGTCACCCACATGATTGTCATGATTCCAGGATTCTTGGCGTCAAAAGCTGGTTCCCGGCCAGTGCACTAAATCTTCTGTGGTGATGTGTTTTTCTTTTTGTCATCATTAGGGACCTTAGATTCCGACGACGACGGCGACGGCTACAGGAACGCCACAAAAGCAATAGGTTTAATTAGCAAAACAATAATTTTGCACGTGCATCACGCTTTTTTGTACATTTCTTTGCCGTCACTGCACGACTACGACGTGAAAATACCCAATTTCACGATGTACAGAGGAAGTACACAAGCGACGACGACATTTCCTCTGTCTTTCTGAACTTGGATATGGTTCTTAGGAATTCAACTTTGGGAGGGTTCGCCTACATTTCACAAAGTTAGTGACTTGGAGTAATCGCGATAAAGATTGAAAGAACGCGAATTCACTTTTTGAGCGACGTTTTCACTGCCGTCGCCGTCCTCAGATCTTAAGGTCCCTATTGTAAGAAATGAGACGGGAACTGGAGCCGAAATGCGTCTCGCAATTGTTTCGGAGATCGTTACTGGGGACGCGCGGGTCGTCGCGCGGGCCAGACGCGGGTCAGCTATTGGGGACTTTAAGATCCAACGACGCGACGGCAACGAAAACGTCTCTTAAAAAGTGAATTTGCGTTCTTACAGTCTTTATCGCAATTATTTCTCCACCACTTACTTTGTCAAATGTAGGCCAACCCTCCTGGAGTTGAATTCCAAGGGACAATACTTAAGTTCATAAACAGAAATAAAATTTCATCGTTGCTTGTTTACGTTCTCCATAAAACGCGAAATAAGGCATTTTCACGTTGTCAGCGAAGAAATGTGCAAAAAAGAGTGATTCACGTGCAAAGTTGTTTTAAGTTTTGCTCATTAAACTTATTTTTTTTAAGTTTTCGTTGCCGTTCGCGTCGTTGGATGATTAAGTCCCTATTGGCCATTGGCCATTATTTTTCCTTCTCCCTAGAGACAGTCCCAGAAGTCTATGCGGGCTGTGTAGGAGCTGCTCGTGAGGTCTCTCCTGATTGGTCGTAGAAAACATTGACATGTCATTCTTTCAATTGTTTCAATTGGTGACTTCTCTTCCGAGCAGCTGCCACATGACTGGTCTTTGCTAAAGTTAACTCGATCCGTTTATTTTCCTCGTTTCTACTTTTCGCAGGTTTTTTTTCAGTCTTCTGTTTGAAGTCCTCAGTCGTACTTGTTCAGATGGAACACTGACTACGAAAGCTCTTGAAATGACCACTGAGCCTCTCCAGAACTCGAGTCCTTGTATTAAGTAACTGACATGTTTTCCATAGCCAGCCTTTAGCTCAAGAGTCTCTCCTTTTTGTCCATAACCATAACCGTGCATGCCCCTTTCGTCGACCCCAGGGTGTCCCCCAGGGTACATTATTAACCGAAAGAGAGGAGGAGTCTGATTACAAGACGCGTCTAAGGATTCGACAGTCGACGGGAAAAGTCTTGCTCGCATCAAATCCTAAACAAGAGGGGAAGGGAGGGGATCTTCATATACGCCTTATTCCACCGGCGATTTGTCTCGAGGTATTTCTAACCACGCGGTTGAAGTTACCTCGCGCGTGGTTGCGTGGATATTTCGTGGCATGACTGAACGAACGTCTGCATGACTGAACGTGGCGTGGCACTGAACATGTGGCATGACTGAACGAACGTCTGCCCCCTCCCCCCAACTAATATTTATCTATCTATAAATTTATCTATAATTATGGCTGAAATGTTTTCTTACCTAAGTCTTCTATACACACAGTGCTCTCAACTGATCTCAATTCATCTGTCACTTTTTCTGAAGCCATTTTATTTTCTCCAAAAATATGCCTTCATATGTTACAGGAATATTGCTTATTTTATCCTGATAATGGTAAACAGGAACTCATAAATAAAAAATTGCTTTGATTCGAATTCTTTCAAGGAGTTCTACTGACTTGGAAAGAATTTATGCTCAGCATATTGTGCCGATTGATTATCACATACCTACGCCTTTAATTACAGGATGACACTTCACGCTACAAGTACTATACTTGTAATAGTTGACACTACAGCTGCCCCCGCTCTGTATATTGTCTTTCGATAGTATTCTTGATCGTTTTGTAGCCGTCTTTGAAATATACCCATTCATAATGAAGATATTCACACATACTCCATACAATAGGTTAGATAAATACAGGAAATAAACACAAGGTTCCATGCACAGTTTCGGTTCGATTTACACAGCTTTGATCAAAACATTTTCAGTTTCGAGAATAGTTTATACTAAACCATAAGAAAAGATTTAATTAGAAGTTGAATTTTTCGCCATTTCTATTTTACATTTAGTTCATTTTATTTGCCGGAAAGTGGGCCTTAGAAATTAAAAGGGCGTTTGATCAATTCACGCTCGCGCATTCTAGTCTTATTTTAAACTTATATAGCGGAAGGACATCTGTGAGCAGGGAATAAGTCAGCGCAGAATTTGATGGTCGGCGAATTTCTGTAATCTTCGTTCTGCTAGTGATGTATAAGCTAGCCGTTGAATCATTCACTCGTCTTGCTTGTTTGGGGCCGAGTCTTATTCCGGTCAAAGAAAGAGAAAGAGTGTCTGGTAAGGTTTCCAATTGACCACCCAGAAA